ATATGTTATTAAATGTGGTATTTTCACATGCTTTCAGATGGAGCAGCATTTACTTCACAGAGCCGTAGTTCACTGAGAAGCTATGCAAACAGCTGTCATTATCGTGAACGATTTCTTCGATTTCAGAATCGCGCAATAAAATCGTCTGAGATTTTTTTTGCGTAACTTGTCAGTGAACTACGGCTACGTGTAGTAAATTCTGCTCCATCTGAAAGCACGTGATGATGATTTTCTGCTGATTACAGAACCGGCATTACTATCAAAATGCGCATGACAATCACATTCGATTAATCGTGCAGCCCTACGATAACTTGTATTGTATAATGTATTTATTTTCCATATTATATTATATGCCATAAAAATATGATTATAGTAAAATTATGTATAAAAATACACTTTTAGGGTCAGGAAACGTTTTATCAATCACAGAATCCACAAAAAATAGTTTTCAGCATAATAAAAATGTTTATTTTTGTGTGTGTATGTGTGTGTTCTTCTATTTCTGAAAACAATAAAAAGTTATTGTACAAAAAAAAAAGTTTAAGCACCAAATCAGCATATTAAAATTATTTCTGAAGGATCATGTGACACTGACGATTGGAATAATTAGCATTTTAAACCATCATAAGAGAGAAAACAGCTGTAATATGTCATAATATTATTTTTTTCTGTGCTTTTTCTGTGCTTAAATCTCACCGATCCTAACAGTAGTGCATATAAAAACATATAAAATTTCTGCTTGTCAATAATAAAAAAAATAAGTCCAACCACTCATCACTTATAACAGCCCTCTTCTCAACAAGGTGTATGATTAGATGCCATCACTCATGTGTGTAGCACATGTACGAGACAAGTTATACAAAAGTTTAATACTTGGCATTAGGGGTAGCAAGCACCACTAATAACTACATTCACACACACACAGGACCTTGATCTGATTCAAACTGTCTAAGACTTTCTCAGAAAACTAAGACTTTCTCAGAAAACCTCCGTCATTACAACTCCATTCATCCCCCAGAGATCTGCTTCCCTTTGTACCGCAGCTATGACATATTTCAAGTCCTTGCATAATGCTGAAAGTAATCAAATTAGTTTAGCAGGAGGGTGCGGGCTTATTTAAGACCCGGTGAAGTGGTGCTGGTGGTGGCCGGCGCAGCAAGAGCGGAATCTCCTCAGGAGAGCGCTCTGACAGTCGAGGACATGATTAGAGCAGGAGCGGGACATGACAGGGAGGGTAATTACGCGCTGCCGCCCGTGGCATCCCTCCCCGGAGAGCCGGAGCGAGACTCCCATCACTCCTCAGAGGGGCTCTGCGATCCCTCTCCTCTCTGACAGCAGGAGGAGGAGCAAAATCTACACAAAACACTCATGTCACACAAAAAAAGACAGGCAGCTGGGGTCCCAGCGTGAGACGCTAGCAAAAAGCATTAATTTGAAATCCACAAATGAATTAGCGGTAATGTGCGAATGAGAACGGGTCCCGTGGCGCTGGCTTTAATGTGAACAGAATGGCCCACTGAGGTAAAGGAAGGGGTTTTATTAAAATGGAGGGCATTATAGATTTATTAGAGATCTGCGCTGCTTTGCCTTTGCTGGTCAGATCTGACTCCTCGTCACCACAGACAAACAGGAAGTGTAGGTTTAACTCAGTTCTTCCACTTGCTAATGGGATTGGGCAAATTGAGGAGATTGAATCAAAGCAGGCATGCGCTCGGACGATATTATCTGGCAAAACCACATACAGAGAGGAACTATACATATGATTGCAAACTTTATGCTTGGGGTTACACCGAAAAGTTAAGCGGTTTTCAGACTTTGATATCAAGGACAACCGAATACAATGATTAGCTTCCTCTTTCCTAATATATAAAAGGCAGCTATACATTTAACCACTCATTTTTTACTGTGAGAAAATAATATCATGATATTATAAAGACAATATATTGTTTACTAAATTATATAAATTGCTTTACATAGACATTATGTCCTAACGTAAATTATTAAGAAGATATCTGGAAAATATTTAATTTGTATTAAGGTCAGTGTTATTTTGGAGTTACTGATATACTATTATATTTTTGTTCATATTTTGAACTGGATTCTTATTTTCTATTTTAATTTTAATATTTATTTTTTTTATTAGTGTTTTCTATTTGACTATATTAAGCATTTGTTTTTCATTTTAGTTGATTTACTTTTAGTTATTTTAGTACTTCAATTTAAACAATGAAAATGAGAAATGTTTTATTTTATTAAATGTATTATTTTTCTTTTTTCAGGTAATGTTTATATTATATATTAAATATTTTTATTTGGAAAAATATATCATTTAAATAAGGTAAACATTTCAGAGTGTAAAACTTAAAATGTTACCTGGAAAATATTCACTCTGCATTAAGTAGGTAGAATACTTATTAATTAATTAATTTGTTTGTTTATTTATTCTTTGTTTATTCAATATATATTTCAATAAATGTAAACATGTCAGTGTAAAATATTAGAAATGACAAAAACTGTAAAAAATATATAAAAATGTAAAAAAAGATAATTTACTGTGAAAGGTGCAACAAATAAATTTTAATGAATAATTTTAAAAATTTTGCAGATAAAATCTTATATTTGTACAACGACAATATAAATGGCAGTAAATACATTTTTAAACAAAATGTTGTCTTTTATAATTAATCACACTTACTATTTACATTTTATACTTACCTTTATATGTTAGGAAGGGGGTCCGTCTAAAGGGATCATCACATTTGGGGGTCCTTGGCATTAACAAGTCTGAAAAGTTGAGTAAAAGTTGAGCAAAAATGAGTAATCGTGGAAACCCTATTTCATACACAACACCCATCATGCACTTCTCTGGTTTCTGTGAACATAATCAATGACATTAAATCTTCTAAAGTATGACATTACCATACTAAAGATACAAGAACTCCATAAAAACTAACTGAGATGGCCTGCAGCCAGGGCTGGGCGGCTTGGTTTTCCAGCGTTTCCTTAGCTGGGAGCAGTGGGTCGTCTTTATGGGGCTTGAGGGGAGTCTGGTGGTCTGGCGCTTGAATTTTACACATCCCAGAAGCCCTCGCTGCAACAACACCAGCTCCTTTCAGCGCACGTGTGGATACATAAACTCGCGGCAATTAAAAAAGGGAAACAAAACCAGACGATGGCGGAAGGAACAATAAAGCGTAATATGCAACTTACTGCTTCTAAAGTCTGGATTTGAGGGGGGTGTCGACCAATCAGATGGCTGTGATTCAATTTGATGGTTATTATATGAAGTGAGGCTGCTGAGCTGATGGCAGTACTCTGTGGAATTTGTCACTTCTTCTCTCTCTCTATGTGTGTGGACAGTTGTGGGCGAGTGGCTATTTCAAGACAGAAACTGTATTCACTTTCTGTTCTGCAGTGTATCGAGAGAACAGGTCTTGCTAATTCATTTAAATCTTTCCGAGTTACGTGCAAGAGTGTTACAGTTGGCACCGAGGCCCATTTCAGTGGCATGAATGTGCGAGTAAAAACATTCGCAGTGTTTGTTTGTATGCATGTCCTTGACAAATGTCCATCCACATATAAGGCTGAATTTATTGACCGCATAACAAGCCTTTGAAATCTTTTTCTCTTTCCATTTTATGATTGTTTTTTCCTTTTGTCCTCTGTTCTGCTCGGGTCCCGTTAATGAAACCCAAATGGGGAGTGATTGGGTTTTGGCGAGCTGCTAAAAGAACTGCGGAGGCCGCGGGGGTGGGCCTCTCCAGTCGTCCGCCTCCTCCCCCCGGAAAAGTGGAGAACAGTTGTGCGGACCCCTAGGGTAAGAGCAGGGAGGGGGGTCTGCTCTGGGAAACTATGCGTCTACGTGAGGCAGGAAGAGGCTTTGCAGGCTGAGGGGAATGCGTGCGTGCGTGCATGCACGCACCGCACCGGAGGGGGCAGCGTGTGTGTGTGTGCATGCGTGCGAGAGTGTTTGTGTGTGTATATGGAAGTGCGCTATATGTCTCATGGGGAAAGTGCATTTGCGATCCTCTCCCACCATTCTCCCGTCTGCCTGCAACAAACAAACAACAACATGGAACCCAGCGGGCTGCACTTCCAAGACAAACGACCGACATTAGCGAGGAAAGTATGTTCTTTATGAATAATGAGATTCCCACCCAAAAACACATCCACTCCCAAACAAACAAACCCGTACACATGCTGTACACCTCATAAAAAAAAAACTGCTGAAATTTCAGAGATGTGTTGCTGATGTAATTTCTTTGTCTTATTTTATACATTTATTTCTTATATTTATTTTACACCATATTGCTTCTTTTTCTATAGCACCAATTATACTTATTTTGGGAATAAAAATTGTAATATAGAAATATAATTGTGTGTGTGTATATATACAGTATATATACTAGGGCTGCACGATAAATCGCATGCGATATTTAACGCGCATCTTATCAGTAAAGCCGGTTCTGTAATCAGCGGTAAATCTCCATCACCTGCGGGCTTTCACATTGAGCAGCATTAACTACACAGAGCCGTTGTTCACTGACGGGCTGCGCAAAACCACGTTCATATTCGTGCGATCTTTTGCACAGCTCATCAGTGAACAACGGCTCTGTGTAGTTAATGCTGCTCAATGTGAAAGCACGCAGGTGATGGAGATTT